AACGACATGCCTGACAATTGCTGGCAATAACAACTATTATTACACTGATGTTTCCTGCTTATGCCACCACTGCTACTAATATTATCACTAATACGGTTACTACTACTGCTACTACTACTAGTACTGCCACTACTATTATTACTACTACTACTACTACTTCTACTACTACTACTACTACTACTACTACTACTACTACTACTACTACTACTACTATTACTACTACTACTACTACTTCTACTACTACTACTACTACTACTACTACTACTACTACTACTACTTCTACTACTACTACTACTACTACTACTTCTACTACTACTACTACTACTACTACTACTACTACTACTACTACTACTACTACTACTTCTACTACTACTACTACTACTACTACTACTACTACTACTACTACTACTACTACTACTACTACTACTACTACTACTAATACTACTACTACTACTACTATCCCTACCTCTATTACTACTGCTGCTGCTGTTGCTAATGTTATTACTATTACTACTTCTACTACTAAGTTTCACTAATACTCTTACAGTTTGCTATTTTTAGTAATGCAGCTAATAGCAAGTACTCTTTGTGTTTTAGGAACTACCCAATAAGTAGCAAGACTCCCATCAGAGTTTATCACCAATACTATAACTACGTACGTACGCGACTTTCATAACAAAATTGATTATTACATTTCCTTACATTCTCCAAAAACAACTGCCTAATGTTATAAAACAGTTTTCATTAAACTGTCAAACTTTAACGTACAATTGCCACTATAATGTCAAACAGTATTTCAAATAATGTTGAAAATATTTTCTGAAAAACAATATTGAAAATATTTTCCGAACAGACAAACCTTTTCCACCAATAACCAAATAAAAATTATTGCAAAAACAGAATCACTGACACCATACTCTAGCTCTAGAGGACAGAGAAAGAAAAAACTGCATAAACACATCACAATGTCTTCAGAAATATAGAAGGAGGACAGAAGAGATTTTACATTTTTTTTTTATTCAGTGAGCCGTTGACGACAGGATGCATGAATAAATAAATTTTGGAGAAGAGATGATGAGGAATAATAAGAAAAAACACACACACAGAGAATGGAAATAGTTTTTAAGTTTCGTTTTATGTGCTACTACTGCTGAAAAAAAAAATTTAAAGCAGAAAAATTCAAAGTCCCGGCAAGTGACAGTGTAATTATTTCAAACATCTGAAAGGAATAACTGATAAAATTGAATTCAAAAATAGTTATTTTTATCCGAATACTGCAGATGTTTGTAAGCATGTATGTCCTTGCGTGTGTGTATGTGTGTCTATTTGTATGTGCAGGTCTGAGCTTTTCTGCATGTGTATATCTATGTATATGTATGTGTGGGTGTTTATGTGCCTGCATGTATCTGTGGGTGCCTGTATGTCTGTGTAGGTGTCTGTGTTAGTGTTCATGCGTGTATTACTTCATAACTAGCCATTAAATTTCTTGATACTTAAAAAAAGTGGCAAAAGTAGATTATTCTTCAAATCATCACTTATTTGAAACATCATCAAATAAACAAAATAATACTGATACACAGGCTTGAAAATGACTGAAAGTTCAATCAAAAGTACGATCGCTGCGTTATTGGCCACCTCATCACTTCTAACAATCCAATGTTGAGTAACCATTGTGGAATTACCAATTTCAGGAGATAAACAAAAAATAGCGAATGAACTACTGTTAAAAAATTTCATTTTAATTTAAACCAGAGTGACGTAATGATTTAGTTTAGGGTAGGATGGGTTTGCTTGGAGAGAGGAGAGAAAGTGAGAGAGGGTGAAAGAGTGTTCTAGAGAGAAGTTGGCCATCAACGTGGGACACCTAATGATGAATTGAGGTCGTAGGAATTTAAGAAGACTCTCCTTCTCCTCTCCACGATGCTCCTCTTTTCGTGTTTTACTGCTCGGTTCTTTTAATTTTTAATACGCTCCATGTTTATTTCTTCTGCTTGTCTTTAAATTATTTATTTGTGTTTCGTCTGCATTTTGTGTCCCGGGGTAGTTGTATTTCAAATATTTTGCATTGTTCGTAATATCGAAGTACGCAGTTTGAGACGTTTTTTTTCTCGGATGTGGACAAAAACTTGATTTTTTTGTTTTTTCAAAATTGTTTATTTCGATTTAGGCATATTCTAATGATAAAATATTTTTTTGTTAAACTTTTTGTCATGTTTTTTCATATTTATTTTAAATGTTAATAAGTTTTATCACCATGTAGCTTTGATATTAAGTAAATATATCTCCGGTTTTTTAATTGATGCAACAATTTTTTCCCAAAAATTTGATGCTCATTGCATAACTACCACCTTTCAGTTAAAAAAAGCAATCATTTATACTGGAATTTATTTTGTAACGTTGGACTTATAATATCAGAAGGTCTTCAACGGTGAAATCTAGGATCAGATGTTTGATGGAGATGCAGATGACTAATTGCATCCGGACGTCACTCAACCAACATCCAGCACTCAGCATCAATTACATTCTAGGCATTTATTAACTTTACAAAAACCTACACACAATGCTTCTTACGTAACAATAACCCATCTTACTCTAAATTATTTGAATGACATTACCAAAATCAAAAATGTATCGGCTTCATTGCTTCTATCTCAAATAATATTTAGTATTTTCATCTCCCAAGCAGGGTGTCATTTCATATGCCTACATTTTATAATTAATTAACTAATTTATAATATGTATATATATATATATATATATATAGCATAAAGTTCATCTATGATGTCTAGAATCTTGTTTGTTCGTTCTAATTTAACGGCATTGAAGCTCCTATAATGGTGCTATGGTGTACCATATCGAGGCTATCATATTCTGTATACTTTAAAAATAATGTCGGTCAATCAATACTCATTAACATTTCCAATCATTCATCAATTTGTTAATCTATTTTTTAGTTTCAAGTATGATAATCCTTAAAAATGTCAGAAGCCATCACCACCGACAAGGGAAATCCCAACCAAGCCCATCTAAGCACTGACGGAGGACCAATTTCGGATATGCGTAAAACCCTTACCTGGCTAATCATAAGATTTAAAAGGCCCACAGACTGGTATCATCCGTACCGACGCAGTGCAAAAAGCCCGTCCAAGCCCGCCATCCGACTCTAGATTCCGATGTCTGAATCTTTTTTCTAGAATAGTCTAAAATATAAAATCTGAAATATATTTTTTTTTTTAAATCAGAATCTGACTGACACAAACAGTGTTGTACTGTACAAGTGGTTTTAGAGTAATGACTTTGATATTTCGTAAACGTTGATATAGTTAGGATGAGTTTTTAAATCAATCATAAATGATGACTCATCTGCTATCATGATACTACTTATTCTACCATCACGATACAACTTGTTCTACCATCATGATACCTCAAAAAAGTCCATTCAAAATGTTACATAAAAAACAATTCTTCATTTACGTAGGAAGGTGTATGGCATAAAACAGGCTTTCTCTTCAGACTTAACGTCTTTGCTTTCTGTCAACACTGGAAAATTTTCTTTTAAAATTCTTCTTGAAGTGCACTTTAACACTAGGTGCCTTTGAAATACCAAAAGGTTACATCATACCATAACCATGTGATTGACTTGTAAGACTTTTTTGTAAATAACAACTAAAAAAATGAAAATGTTATTGGTGTTGAAAATTGTAAAAAAGTTGTACTTTTTGTTGTGTTAATGTTAATACTATTCCTCTGGATGTTATTTAGTATAAATTAAATAAAATAGAGTATATATTGAGTTTTCTGTATCTAAGAAGATTTTGTTCTAAGTGTATATATCCGGCATAAATATTTGTGTTTGCAATTATTACGATATTTTATGCAGTTAAACATGTAAGTATGTTGTGTTTGGGTTTATTAGTAGTTGTTACGGTATAGAATGCAAGAGTATGTATGGGATTCATTCGTGTTGAGACAGGATTGCGTGCAAAATGCCAGTAAATGTGTGTGCGTGTGTGTGTGTGTCTTTTTGTGTGTCTGTGTGTGTGTGTGTGTGTGTGTGTGTGTGTGTGTGTGTGTGTGTGTGTGTGTGTGTGTGTGTGTGCGTATTGGTAATTATTTAATTATTTGCGACACTAATAGCATTAAGACACCCTCCGTGGTTACGGCAAGCCAATTACTCTTTTGAAGTTTCCGACGAAAGAAATATACACGTCGTTTCGATGAGAAACTTTTCTCATTATTTTAATATTATTATTTCAAAAGTAATTGTAATTTTTGTAATTATGCTGCTGTTGTATTACTTATCTCATTCCTATTCTGCTCATGGTAATTTTTGTAATTATGCTGCTGTTGTATTATTTATCTCATTCCTATTCTGCTCATGGTATTATTGTTACAATTTGAAATTTTGTTTTTTATTCAGTTTTCTTGAGGCCAACACTGATATCATCTAAGAAAGCTACACACTGTTACTCGTCATCCTCATAAATAAATAATGGCGGAAAAATTTAATATTTCTTTTAATTGTTGCATCGATTTTCAGCGTTATATACAACTCACTATATATTTTTTATTTTTTGTTTATCATCTAAAATACGCTAACAAAAAATTTCAGTGATTTTTTCATGTAGATTTTTAAAACTAAATGAACGAAATTTTTTGTAATTTCTACAAATTGGTTCTTCAGAATAAAAGAATTTTGAAAAAATTTCGAAATAAATTTCAAAGACGAAAAATTAAACTACCAAATTATCACTCATCAAAAAGTGAAAAACTTTATACCGTTAGGCTTTAATCAGTTCTCAAAACCACTTTTATGAATATTAATAGTTATAGGTCATTAGCGATTTTAATTTGCAGTAGCAATACTACACAGCATAATCAAAAATATTATTCATGTGACATTTTTAAAGATCGTTTCGTATCGTATCGTTTGGTTTCGTTTCGTTAATGTTTTTATTTTAATAATTTCGTTTAATGATGTTCAATTCAACAGACTGCAAATGTTAATTTTCCACTTGACAGCCAATCAGAAAGCGAACTTACTTCCTGTAGTAGTATTCCTTCATGGAGAGAGTTACGACATCGGGAGTGGAAACGTCTATGAAGCTGCTGCCGTGGCTTCCTTCGCAGGGAACGTGTGGGTGACTCTCAACTACAGGCTCGGAGCTTTAGGTTGGTGCAGCTGTTGGAGGTGGATGCGTTTGAGTGTCGTTTGAAACATGGATGTGGAAAATTTACTGAGTGTATGCAGTATACATTGTTATGTTTATAATTGGGTGTGTGATTGACTGGTTGTGTAAGTGAAAGAAAAAAGAATTTTTTTTAATGGTAGGAATAAAAGTTAGTTAGTTACCTTAAGTTATCTTTTAATCATCTGTGGTCGTTTGTTTCTGTGCCAAGATTCATTAAAACTCATAAACTATTGACTTATTTTCTATTGATATATGTGGTTTAAATCACTACTGCCATATAAATATTGGCAAATATATGGACCAGATAAATGTAACATTTTCAATAGTGATTAGGATTGCTGCAACAACAACAACGAATACAACACAGATAACGTGAATTAAATAAATAACAATAATAATAAACAATAATATCAATAATAATAACAATAATAATAATAATAGAAGACAATAGAAGTGAAACTAATTCATCTGATAATTTATTCCTCGCGACATGTGTGCGGCTGCCTCAGATCAGATGCGCCGAGTTGGTTAGCCGGCATAAAAGTTGAAAATTGGAGAAAAAAAAAATCTCATTCATTTGTCTGCATCCATTTATAAGCCTTCGTCTCTGCATTCGTCTGATGTTCTACAATTATTTTTATAAGATTTTAGCAATTGATTTTAGCATTCAAGTGTGATTTTGATAAACTTTTAAAAATGATTTTTCTGGCTAAATAAATTTGCTCTAAAGAAACATTTATACGCATTTTTTCTTCTTTGTTAAAATATAATTTAATTTCTAGATTATTTTTTGCAATTTAATTTTCCAATTCAAAAGTTTATAGAGTAATTCATTTATGCTTCTCTCAAATTATCAACTTATATGCAGATTTGTTAACGATTTGGAGTATTTAAGCACATGAAATCTTACCCCAGCTTCCACGAGAAATTTCAAACACCTAACTATATAAAAGTGTATATTTACTCTGTGGTAGCAACTACTATTGACAAATTTAATTACAATATACAAAAAGTTCTTTTGTCCATCATTTATTGTGTGTATATATCTTGCTGTGGAATACAGCGATGATACGTGCGTGATACATGGTGTACAGATTTGATCTATTATTCAGAATAACATGGATACACACTGTAACAAGTGACGAAGCCTGTGGAGTTTCTCTTACTGTACCATATTTAATATTAAGTGCTTTGATAGCAGAGTTTCAAAATAACTGCTTTTTCTCTGTACATAAATGTTCATTGTCTTGCTCTTTCCATCTCTTCATTGTTACAAAATGCAAACATCTTCACCTTCAGGTTTTCTGAGCACTAAAAATGACAATTCCCCTGGCAACTACGCCCTACTTGACCAGGTTAGGGTGAGGGTTTTAGGATGGATGAGGCTGGTGCATGGTGTGGTGGGGTGGGATCATTTGTTCGTTTGGTTGTGGATGTTTGTTTGTGTGAGTGTTTGTTTGTGCGTGTGTGCCTCTGTAAGTTTGTGTGTTTTTGTGTGTGTGTGCTTACTTGTTTGTTCGTTTTGTTTTGTTTTGTTTAGTTTCGTTTTTTAATAAATCCACTTTTTTCAGTGTCACGCACATTTTGAATGTTTAAAATTCTTCAAATGCAAAAATAAATTAATTGTAATGTAATAAAGTAATGAAGTAATAATGTTCACGAAAGACTGCAAAAATTTTACAAAGCCTCAAATGCATAAGTTAAATAAATTATCCTGCTACGATATGTTAATAAATCAAACTTGCGAAGATTCATTTAGAAATGAAAAAAAAAACCTGCCAATGCTTTCCGCCATTAATCAAAATTCTGACCAACCACAATCAAGCAATCACGTGATCTGACCTACTTAATCAGGTGGCTGCCCTTCATTGGGTGAAAGAGAACATAAGGGCATTTGGAGGTGACCCAGATAGGGTCACCCTCATTGGTCATCATTATGGGGCTGCCATGGCTCACATGCTAGCCGTCTCTCCAGTTACTAAAGGTGAATTGCATGATGAATGGATGGACGGATGGATGAAGAATGAATTGCATACTGAATTGAATAGAAAGGTGAATTGCTTGATGAATGAATGTATGGATGACTTGAATGATGAATGAATGAACGGATGAATGATGAATTGCATGATGAATGGATGATTGGAGGAATAAATTAATGCATTAAAAATACATAGGCGGGTGAATAAATAACTAAACACCTGGACCAAAAATAGCTGAAAAATGTTGGATGAATGAATGAAAGGATGAATAAATGAACGAACAAATGAGTGAACGAGTGAACGAACGAACGAACGCACAAAAATATAAAATACATGAATGTATTTTATAAACAAAAAATGATTGTATAAAGGAGTGATAAGATAATAAGATTGCTTGATAGATAAATGAAATAATAAATAGATGAATTAATGAATGAAAGAAAATAACAATTGATGAATTATTGACAAGATTTACAGCTGAATGAATTGTTGGATTAACTGGTGGATGAATTGACAAACAAATTGGCAGATGAATTGATGAATGGAATAATGGATGAATTAATGGATGGATTGATGGAAGAATAGAAAGTTTTTTCTATGCCAGCATCTGGTCGCTATTGTAATAACCATCATAATTTTAGATGTCGTCATCAATCACCATTCCCCATCATCACCTCCACTATCATCATCATCACCTCCATCATCATCATCACCTCCACCATCATCGTCATCATCTTCATCATCGTCGTCTTCATCACCTTCATCATCATTATTACCATCACCATCCCAATAATCACCATCATTTTCATTACCATCTTCGTAACTTTCATCATCATCTTCGTCATCATTATCACCATCATCAACAGCCACACAATCATAACTAGCATCATCGTTTTTAACATCATTATCATCATTTTCAACATCATTATCATCATCTTTAAAATCATTATCATCATTTTCAACATTATGTTCTTAACATCATTA